CCACCAGGTCCTTAATAACCCAAGAACCCCACTCCCTCCCTTTACACTGGCACAAAGGAAATGTGAGCTCGGTAGCAGAAGCCTTACTGGCTGCTCTCTCTCTCACACACACACATACACACAACCCAGAGAATCTGGATGATGGTTGCACATGGACGTGGCAGGGTGCGTCATTTTCACATTTCACAGATTGTGATTCTGTTGTGCTTTTCTGAGGCTGTTTTGAGGGAGTCCACTGAGAAAGAAGTGTACAGTGGTGCCATGCTAGACGATGATAATCCATTCCACTGAAATAGCTGTTTAGCGAAATCATCGTCTAGCGAAAAGCGTTTCCCCATTGGAATGCATTGAAACCTGTTTAATGCGTTCCAATGGGGAAGAATCGTCGTTGTCTAGCAAAGATCGGCCATAGGAAAGCCGCTTTGCAAACCGCCGATCAGCTGTTTAAATCGCTGTCTTGCGCAGCTTAGGTCCCGAAAACACACATTTTGCGAGCGCGAAGGGAGCTGTCAAAATTGTTGGCTAGCAAAAATTGGTTTGCGAAGCAGGGACCAAACATTGTCCAGCGAAATTCCCCGATAGGAATCACTGTTTTGCAAATCGCTATAGTGATCACAAAAAGTCAATGTCTAGCGAAAAAAACGGTCATGCGGGGTAACTGTCTAGCGAGGCATATCCCTATGTCGCTGGGCAGACGGATGACAGGCCACTCTGTCCATCAGAGTCTTGGGGAGATTCAGAGGGAAACACGTCTGGCCGAATCCTGCTCCTCCTTGGCCTGTGGCTGGGGATCTTCTCAAGACTTCCCCATGGAAAGAGTCCCCACCCCATAAGGGTATCTCTCTCTCTCTCTTTCTCTACATACCTGGATGGAAGTGATCCATATTTCTGAAAAACAGAAGAAAGAAACTGGGGTTGATGGGGCTCCAGAAGGCAAGCAGACCCCCTATCCCTATGTGGAAGCCACGACTCTGACCTACCCTGATGAAGCCCAGCTGTCCTTCATTGTTGAGTGCCTCCAAGGAGTCCCCCAGCGCCTTCATCTTCTGGAGGGTGTCTGCCGTCTGGCTCAGCTGGGCCTCGATGGAAGCCACCAGGCGGGCCACCTCCCTCTCGATCTGCGCCAGGAAGCGGGCCTTCTCCTCGTCGATGTACCGGTGGAGCTGCTGGAACTCCTTCCGAACCACCCACTTGAAGACGTCGGACTCGTTCTGGCAACGGGCGGGAGAGGGATGGTCTGGCACTGTGGCGAGCATCAGGCCTACGAAGGTCTAGCTCTGGGAAGGGGTGGCAGAAGAGGCTGCCTTCTGGGGGACAAACCCCCTTCAGCGCCCCCAGGAGGTGGATGGAGAAGCCTGGCGGCCAGGTTGGCGCCAGGAGCATCTGTGACCCTCCGCCCTTGACAGCGAGACCCAGCCTTTCTTAGAAAACCGCTGGCCTGGAGCCCACAATCCAAGAAGGCCAATATTGACAGAGCTTTGAAAGGGTGTGTGTGTGTGTTGTGGCTTTGCAAAGCGCCGATCACCTTGCAGGGACTTCTCTTGAGTTGTGCTTCCTAAGGCGTGTGTATCCTTCTGCCACCCCCCTCAACTCCTGCAGTGGCACCTCTTAAGTTTCGCCGTTAACCCCTGCGGATTCTGCCCGGCGCAAACGCTGGAGGGGAAAAGCCTCGGCGTCTTGCACCAAATGGAACTGGAGGTTATCCGACCGAAGGTTTCGCTTCGGGCTCTCTGGTGGGGTTTGGAGATGCAACCCAAAAAGTGCCAGCATGCATTTCCAAACCTTAGCCCCACATTCAAGGGTTGGGAAATTTCTGTCTGGTTTGCTTTGTTCTGCAGCCTTGAGGTCTCTGACTCAGGAAGGGAAGGGAAGCCGGGTCCCCTTTTCTCCAGTCCTGAGTCTGACCCCCCCACCCCATTGCCCAGCTTGGCCACCGTGCCCAAACTGGGTGAAGGTATGAAGGGGGGGTGGAGCAGAGAAGGCAGGCACGTCCCACGGGGGGGGGGGCATCTCCAGGGACCGCCTGCCTCAACTCACCATGATGCGCGTCTGGTTGTTCACCAGCTTGCTGGCATGCTCATCCAGGGCTCTCTTCTGGCGCTGCACCTCCGTCACCCAGGTGGACAGCTCCTCCTGAGGAGGGGAAAGCGATTCCCTCGTCAGGACCAAGTGTGGGCCCCCCTCCACACACACACACACACCCAATCCCATCCTGGCTGGAACAGCTCTCGAAACTGAAAAACCTGCTGGGGCAAGGAGGAAAAGGAGCCACCCACCCTGCAGCAGAGAGATCTAGCAGGTCAGGACCTGGCGGAGAGCTTAGGAACGCCTGCCAGGTGGAGGGAGGAGGCAGAAAGGGAACCAGCAGGACTGATCATCCTCCCGGTCTGTTTTGTCTGCTCCGTCCAGGGATTGGAGGGGAAGGGGAGATGGGTCGGACCCTCCGACCGGGGTGTGTGCAATTTCCAAATAACCGCAGGACCAACACACGTTTTTCCTTTCCCGGATTTGGCTGCACCGCTCTGTGAACAAGCAGGCGAGGCCGGTGTGTTTCTCTGGCTTTATCTCTCGTCCCAGCCAGCGCCAGGTACCCAGGCCGCAGGCGGGGTTTTGCCTCCTCTCACAAGTTCCTCCGGCTTTGCCCCCTCACTGCCCTTGATGACGGAGACCTTATCATGTGCTTCCACCCCCAAGCATGCACGTACACAACACACCCTGGAGGGGATACTCAGGGTTTGGCCCTCGCTTCCCCGGCTCTTAGCCGTGCTCCTCAGATGGTCCCCCTTGGAGAAAAGCTGGCCCCGGGGACCCCAACGTGGCAGCAACCCCCCAACGCAGCCCGAGAGGTGGGCTAGTTCTTCACAGCCCGAGGAGCAGGTCCTGGGCAGAAGGGGGTCACGGGGTGGGTTGGGTTGCAGGAGGCAGGGAGGTTGCCCCCCAAACCTCTACACACTCTCAGGGCATCTTTGGGTGATCAAGCCAGTGGGCCTGCCCACCCAGCGCCATTCAACAGGTGCAGAAGAAGGGCCGGGGACTCCAGTGGCTAAACTCCAGCTCGTGGTGATTGGGCATGACTGGTCCCATTGCCGTCCGGTCCTATTTTGGGGAGCTTCCTAGGAAGCACCTGCTTAAACCCCTTGATTTGAGGTGCTTGATTTGCTGGGCTTTGGCTGCAGGGTTTGCCCCAGGGGGAGACCTGGTTCCCCCCCGCCGCCTGCTCCCCAGGTCCAGAAGTGGGCCAGTCGCCTACCTTCTGTTTCCCTCTGCCCGGGAGGTCCCCCGCGCACCCGCCCAGCCCCGCTGCCGCGAGAGCCGCTCGCCCACCCCACCTGCCTTCATCCGGCTGTAGACGGTGGAGACCGGGGTGACCTTGTGGTGCTGGTGGGAGCCGATGGAGCCACACAGCCCACAGATCACCGCCCGGTCCTGCTCGCAGAAGAGGCTGAGGGGGTTGCGGTGGTCGGGGCAGGACTCCTCGCCGGGGTCGTCACCCCCCGCCGTCTGCAGGGCCTCCACGATGCGGGCCAAGGTGACGTTGGGTGGCGAGCTGCCGCTGTCCACCGTCTTGCGGCAGACGGGGCAAAGGAAAGGCTGCTCCGGGTCGCCCGAGAGCGAGAGGACGCAGGTCTTGCAGTAGGAGTGGCCGCACCGCAGCATCAGGGGCTCCCGGAAGACCTCCAGGCAGATGGGGCAAAGCAGCTGGTCCTCCAGCTGGTCCAGGCTCATTTTCCGGGCCATATCCCTTCGGAGGCCCGGAGGGGAGAAGGGCCCTCAGCAGCTCAGGTGAAAAGGTCCCTCGTGTTCCTCCAAATGATGAACAGGCCTCCTGCGATTTTGGGGCGAGGTGAGAAAAAGGGGGGTCTCTCAGCAAGTGCAGAGCGAGACATTCACGAAGTGAGGACCGGTGGGGGTGGAATGGGTGGCTTTTGGGACATGGAGGGGATTATGAGTTGCTTTAGGCTGTGGCAGGGGGAAAAAAACACAGTAAGGTGGCTTTTGTGACCTCTTAAGGACTTATCACGTTTCACGTGGTGTCGGCTTTTGTGAAGGCCGTCACTTGTGAAATACGGACACCAAATGGAACTTGTTGGCCATAAAGGTGACCCGGGGGGAGGGGGATGTTTGTGGCAGCTCCCAAGCTCCTTGGTCCGGGAAGGAGAGAAAGGAAAACACAGCATCTCGGGGGGGGGGGGGCTGTTGTTGCCCCCCCTGCCGGGCTTGGGGCAGAGCCCCCCCCCCTGGCTCCCTCAAAGGCCCTCTTCATGGGCCCCAAACAGCAACCGGGCAGGGGAACCACGGAGAACCTTGACAGCCCACCCTGCTTGTTTGAAATCCTGTTCCTATCTCGCTGCCCAACCTTGGGAGCAAAGTTGTGGGGGACACCCTGAAGCAGGCCAACCACTCAGAGCCCTGTGTCACCTGGAAGCCAAGCCCATTTGAGACCTACAAAGCCGCACTCCTTCCAATGCACGGCAAAGCCTTAGTTTTAGAAACCTGTTCCTCACCGAGCTGGTCAGAGGCTTCAACCGGCTGAAGCGGTGTGGGTGCCATTCCACCCCCCCAAAAAAGGGCTGCCCCTTCTTACCTTCCCCCCAGATTTCTCAGACGTCCTCCTCTTGTCTGCTGCCACAAGGGCTCCCAGAAAACAGGTGCTCCTCCGTAAGGCTGTGAAGTCGGCCGTCCGACACCAATCGCTTCTCCTTGCCCACGGGTGGAAGGAGCCGTGGCAGGAGTCGCTCTGGGCCAAGGAGAGGGTCTGAGGTTGGTGTCCGGAAAGGTTTTCCCCTCTGCGTGCCCTCCCCCTAAAGAACCAGCCAGTCCCACGGGATCAGCCACCCACCTCCCTCCCCTGCGAATCCTTGGAACCACCCCCAGGCGTGCTGCTGATTCGCGCAGGGATCTCGCCATGCGGGAGCATTTTTTTTAATCACAAGCGCTCTCCCTGCCAAAATTGCTCTTTCAATCAACAACTCACACCGTGCCAAGACAGGGCCGATGGGGCAGAGGCCCGAGAGGCTGGTGTGTGTGTGTGTGGGGGGGGGATGTGGAACTGGTGCCACTTCTGGATTATGGAACACCCACCACTACCATCGGTCCCTGTGTCTTGCCAGCCAAGGCAGGCTGCTTTTCTTTAAATTATGTGTTTTAAACTGTAACAACATTGTGTTAGCTCCACCAACATTTTCTAGGCAAGACTCTCCTCAACAATCTACTCCCCCTGAGCATGTGCAAAGTGCCTGCTTGTGCCAGCTTGTGAACTGAGATCTTCCCAGGCCCTGGAAATGATATAGGAAAGACACCTTGACCTTTAGTACCTCGCCCAACCGAAGGTCCATAGCAGCCCTCTCATGAAGAGGTCATAGAGGTTAGAGACATGGCCACCACGTTCTTGTGGCCCCGTGGCAATTAGCTCCACAACAAGGGCCACACAGAATGCCAGGCAAAGCCCCATAGAAATGAAGAGGAGCTTAGATAAGCACCCCCAGAGACCGGACACGTTCAACCGAGCGAGCATGGCCCACTCTTGAGGGGGGACTAGGGGAAGGCTAGTTGGGGGGGGAGGTTTCCACACAGCAGTCAAGGATGTGACACCCCAGGTGAGAAGCACCTGGATTCCATCATTCAAAACAGGAGTCCCCCCAGAGTTAGGTTGAAATATTTATTTAAAAACGACACACACACACAAAGGATGTTGACAAAGGATACCAAGAGGAGGAAAACTGGGGAGGGGCACCTAAGATTTGGATACACTCATGTTGAACAGTTCAGACTGGGAGTTCCAGCCAACGTTCTTCTTCACAGCCCCTCTGACCCTCCCCCCCCAGCTGTCGCCAACTTCCAGGGAGAAATGTCACCTAATTGTCGTGCGCGCCCCTGCTTTGTCCCCCCGAGCCTTCAGCGTAGGGGGGAAACATGCATCTCAGGTCCCCGTGTCCCCCCCCGTTCCCACAACAAGGTGCCCTCAAGGAAGAGAATCCAGGGGATACTGGAAAGTGGGGAGGGGGTACATAATGATGCCAGCAAGAAAAGGCCGGCGCAGCCCTCCCCAAGACCAGGTCCTCCCCCCCCACGAGACTAGGTTTCCCCATCCAGTTGCTCAGTTGTCCCACAATCGCATCTGTCAAGAGGACACACACACCCCCGGGGGTAAGGAAATCCAGAGGGGCTCTAAAGGGAGAAACCCCACATTTTGGAAAAGGCTCTGTTGGAACAGGAACCCCTCGTAAGAACTGAAACTGATGTGGAAACAGCAGGAACGTTATGGGAGGAATGGGAACTTCAGCAGCGGCATGACACGGTGCTATATATATATATTTTTTGATCTGCCTAGTATGGAACTTAGGTATGATGTAAACAGAACTTGCACAGAATTAACAAATTCCAGTTGCCTGGAATTATGTATTATAACAACAAAGACTCTTGCATCAAGACACCCAAGCAATTGCTTGTTGCTGGATGTCCGATTTTATTCTGGGATTAACCCTTTACTGGGAATCACGTCAGCTATGATGAATCATAGATTTTGTTCTCCTTGTCTGAATCTTGGAGGGAGTCAGTTACCCTTACCAGGTTCTGACAAGATAGAAATTATAAAGAAGTATAAAAGGGGGTGGGGGAAAAGGAATTGAATGAAATTTCATGTTAGAGAGAAAAACATCAGTCAAAGTGCATATCCTACCAAAAATTTTTATTTTTAAAATATGATGCAACAGCCTGAAATTTAAACAAAAAAATGCCAAAAAAGTTTGGATAATTTTTTTTTGCACGAATGGGGAAGAAACTAAGGTTCATAAATAGTGGTTTAAAAAATGGTCAACGCATAAATGGGAGGATTGCGTATAATACAACTGATAAACTATTACGAAGCCTTCCAAATAACTCAAAACTACATCCTTATACTATCGAGACGTTAAGAATATGGTGCAGGTATGTGAGAATTCCCCCCCCTCCACCCTCTCATTGGATTATCCAAAATTTATATCTCAAGATAAATATGAACAGTTTGAACACTGGAGAGAAATTGGAATTTTTTTTAAAAAGAGGCACAGAGGGTTCCGGCCGCCACCAGAGGCAACGGGCAGCCCCGATCCAGCCACGCCGCTTAAGAGGGCACGTCGCCCACCAGCCAGATCCATCGCTCAGGAAGCAACCCCCATCTTCTGTCCTCCAGGGGCCCCCCCACAAAGACTCCCATGGGGGACGTCCAGAACAAAGGACCGCTGCAGCTTATCAAAGGCAACCGCTCTTGCGAGGGTGAAGGGCTCCCGTCTTTGCTTTGTCAGCGACCGTTCAGGATGTAGACCGACTACATCCACGTCTTCTTCTTGGCCCCTTTTTCTTTCCCCATGGGGCCCCTCCATGTCCTCTCCAGGTTAATGCATAGTCCCCCCCCCAACAGAGGGGTCTACGTTTGGCTGCCTTTTTCCTGTCCTTCCCTGGTTTTCCCTCGTCTTCCTCCAGAAAGGAAGGGGTAGAACGGAGCCCTGTTCTCCTCCCTGCCCCAATCCCACGGCTCCACTCCACCCCGAGAACCCCCTTCATACACAACCGGGGGGGGAAGGCAACCCTGAACTCTCTCTTCCTCACCCACCCCCAAATCCCAGAATATCCACTTAGGCTCAATTTGGCTGCAAAGGTAGCTTCTTTTTTTAACTTTCAATCAGTCTGGATGTTGCCAAGCGCCGGACTGGATCCGGCCCAGGGAAAAAGGCAAGGGGCAGCTTGGGATGGGGGGTGTCCTGGGAGGCATCACAGCTGGCCGTGTGCTTCTTTGGAGGGGCTGCGCTGCCCGGCAGACTCTGTAAGACAGGTGGAACAAATAGGATGGGGACGTTGTGTCAGCTCTCTAACAGCATTTGCAGGAGAGGCAAACATCCCCGTCTGCTTCATGGAGGGGACGTCCCACCTTCTTTCACCCCTGCGCTACCTACACCCCCCAGCAGTGGAGGCTGCCTCAGAGAAGGGACGAGTAGGGAGGGGGCTCTGTGGAAAGGGGGGAGGGAGGCAGGGACCGGGGTGGCTGAGCCCCCCCCCAAAAAATATCTAGGTACCTCCTCTTCCGGAGAGACGAGGGCTCCTACGCAGGGCCTGCCCGGAAGCCGCCTTCCTCTGCCGACACTTTCTCTGAAACAAGAAAGGAACGAGGAAGGTGGGAGGGAGCCTTAGTGCCCCCCCCGCAGATGTGCCCCCCTCCGCTGAGCGACAGGGCCCTAAAACTCTAGAGCTTTCTTGAGGGCACCTTTTGTCAAACCCACAAGTTCGTCTCCCGCCATGGGCCCCTCTTCCTTTCTTTCCTCATGGGGGGGTCATATGAGAAAGCCCCTCTTTCCTCCCCCCACAAGAAGAAAAAAGCCTTTTGGCTTCCTTGCAATAGTTAGTCAAGATGCAAAGGTGGGGTTTGGTTCTCATCCTGATTCCAGGTATCGGAGAGAAATCCGCCGATGTCAAGAGGGAAAAAAAACACACACACACACCCTCCCTGAGTCTCCTCAACGGGGCCTCCCTTGATCCCGTTTGGAAAGGCAGGCTGGATCCTGTCTCTCAACCCCAGACCAAAGCCCAGCCCCGTGGCCTCCCCTCCAGCTCACCTCATGCTTCTCGAGGGTGGGGGACGGCAGGAGGATGTTGCACCCGTTGCAGGCGGCCAGCTGGTCGTAGGCGGGGTCCTCCCTGTGGCCGGACTCCTCCAGGACTTGGGGGTCAAGGGCAGTGAATGCCAGCCGGCTGTGGACCCTCTTCCCCTTGGGGGGCTTCAGGGAGGGCTTCCCGAGGAGAGAAGGCGACCCCCTCCCCTGGCTCTTGGGGCGGACGGCCTTCTCCTCTGCCTTAGAGTCCTGCTCAGTAGGGGATCCTGGGCTAAGCAGCCCCAGGAGCTGGGGGAGTGGGGCGCACTCGTTCTGTGGAGGAGAAAGTGGGGGAAGCAGGGTGGAAGGTTAAGACGGCTGGGAGGGAGGGAAGAAGGGAGAAGACAGCCCCCTCCCCAGCCAAGAAAAACAGATTGGCTACCCCACTCCGCTCCCTCTCAGTGGGGTGGGAGACAAGTCGCACCATCCACCCCTTCCCCAGAGGTGCTGCCCCCAAACAGAGCAAGAAAGAACCATCTTCAGGGGGGAAGGGGGTATAGGGCCGCAGGTAGGATCCTTACCAGGTGTTGGAGGTACTGCTCATCTGAAAACTGGCCCTTGCACAGCTCGCAGATGTTGTCTTTGGGCTCTGCGGAAAGAGAGGGAGAGGCACCTGGCAGGTGCGGGGGGGGCAGCACTGTCAGGAATCCAGACAGACCCCCCAACCCTGGCAACTGTCCCTCCCCCCAGGGTCAGGAGAGGGAGAAGCAGCCCGCCAGCCACACTGCCCCTCTTTTCTATCCATTCTCTGGTGCAGGGCATATGCTGGGGCCTGGAGACAGGACTGCTAGCATTTGGACCGTCCTCGCTTAACATCCCAGAGCAAGTGGAAACAGGCCAGCTTTCTTGGAAGGCCAGCTTGGAGCAGGTAAGGGGCACAGCAGCCCTCCCACCCTCGAATAGAGTCACCTTGCCCAACTCTTTTGCACCCCATCTGCCGGATGTTCTTTTCCGGGCTACGCCTCTTGGAGCTTGAAATCAGGACCCACAGCCTCTGCTCCCAAAGTGAACCTCCTGGCCCTACCTCCATTTGCCCCATGCCAGCGGGTGACCCACAGCTGTTAAGGTCAAGTGCATGTCATTCCAACAACGTCCTCAGAATTAACACCCATTACTAGTCAAGTCCGTGGTTGTTTGCCATAGCTGACATTTATCCCTGAAAGGGTTAGTGCTTCAGTGGGAGATCAGATAACCATACCAATCTAACCAAGGAGTATCAAGACATAAGTTGTGCAAGGGCTCCATCGCTCCTCAGAGATTGAGAATATACTTCAGTGGGAGACCAGATAACCATACCAATCTAACCAATGAGTATCAAGACATAAGTTGTGCAAAGGCTCCATCGCTCCTCAGAGATTGAGAATAAAGCATTGTTTTGCTCACAGTAAAGAAAAATACTCTCTGGACATCCCAATCACAGACAGTATAAATCTACGTAGGGAAAACCATGTTCCCTCTGTGGCCAATAAAAGGGAAATGCCAGAATTGCAGAAAATGTTGTCAACTTTGTTTGGTAAACAAGAATACTCGTTTTTCCACCAAAGAGGAATGGAGTGTCTCTCTCTCTCTCAGGCTTTGCCATGTCCTCTGCTCGCTTTCTGGAGCCAATATCTCTCATACAGGTCTCTCCACACACCTGGCGAAATGAGCTGCCTGTCCTGAAGTATCCTCTGACCGGTAAGCCGGACCTTGGTGGCCCAGCTTACACTTTATGATCACATCTCAGGTTTCCAGAGCCACATTTATTATTAGCCCTCCTCCCCAAAATCCTGTTCACACTGTGTTCATAACGCAATTTCAAATGCCGGCCACCAGGAAGGAAGGAAAAAAACGCTCCCCCCCCCAGACCCAGGACTCACCACCAGTGGCCTTCGGCCCGTGGCTGGCGTGGAAGGTGGCGTTGTGCTCCTCCAGGGTTCGGTACATGACGTACTTGCCACAGTCCCAGCAGGAGGTGGTCCGGCTGCCACAGGCCTCCAGGTGAGGCTGCAGCCTCTGGAAGGGCAACTCTAGGTCACAGAAGCGGCACTGGACCGGGCGCTCGGGGCACTCCTCTGCCTGCAGGGGTGTGCGTGTGTGTGGGGGAAAAACAGAGGGTGGGGAGAGAAAGGTCCACGTGAAGGAGCCAGGCAGCCCACAGGCAGGCCCTGGGCCGCCTTGCCTTGCCACGGAAGGAAGGAGCCTCAGTTCCCTCCACGTGGCAGGATCAAGGGCGAGACCTTCCGGCCTCAAGGGTCAAAGAGGGGAAGGGTGGGAGAGGGTGCCTGAGCCTCAAGAAAGCAGGCAGCTCACAACTATGCGGGTCCTGCCTGTGGGAAGCGCCACGGTCAAGCTCCTCCACCACCTCCTGCACGTACAGGGCCAATTGGGCCTCCACACCGACTCAGTTCCCCCCACGTGGCAGGATCAAGGGCGAGACCTTCCGGCCTCAAGGGTCAAAGAGGGGAAGGGTGGGAGAGGGTGCCTGAGCCTCAAGAAAGCAGGCAGCTCACAACTATGCGGGTCCTGCCTGTGGGAAGCGCCACGGTCAAGCTCCTCCACCACCTCCTGCACGTACAGGGCCAATTGGGCCTCCACACACCTCTGCTGGGAGAGCCCACATGGGCAGAAGGTCTTTCCTGAGCATGTGCAGAGGGCGCATGAGGGTGCCCCCCCAGGAGGTGCAGAACGAGGCAGATCGGGGCCAAAGGAAACAGGTTTTCCAGCATCTATTTCCGCCACCGCCCGAGCATGCCCAGAAGGGCACCCCCGGGTGCGCTCCTTCCATACCTCGTGGTGCTGGAGCAGGTACTGTTGCATCGCCTGGTGGCAGAGTCGGCACCTGACCTAGAAAGGGGTTGGCAGAGCGAGGAAGGGAGCCGTCAGCCAGTCGCCCCACAGGAAAAGTGGATGGAGGGGGGGGAGAGAAGAAGAGAGAGCTGGTGGCTCTCCCAGGCTGCTAGACTGGGGCAGATGCGATCCTGGGGCAAGCCAGTCCTTCCTCTCCTCTCCCCCCAACAGCTGGCTTAGCCACTACAGATGGCGGTGAGTGGTTTGTGAGCGTGTCTGAGAGACGCACAGATCCCCCCACCTGCCCCTTACCTGCTGGTGGGCTTCCCCGTGGTGCGCCTTCATGTCCTTCAGCGCCACCGGCTCCTCGCACTCGGGACAGATGGCCAGGAAGCGCTGGCAGTGAGCCTCGTGAAGGGAGAAGTTGGCGGCAGCCACGTCCCGCTTGCTGAGCGATGGGGAGAAAAATGGTTCCCTATGTGGTGAGGCCTGGCCCCTCAACTTTGGGCCCCACAGGCAGCTTCGGAAAGCCACAGAACTCCGCCGCAGCCTTCAGCTTGAGCCAGGAGGGCACGAAAGGGTGGCAACACTTCTGGGGGGGGGTGGAGGGGGCCTCGCCCGAATCATATCCCTGGAAGATGCCCCAAGGAGCTCTTTGCTGGCGGGGGGAGGGGAGGGGAAGGTGTTTTTCACACGTTCTTCAGACCCGGGTCAACATAAAAGTTCCACCAGCTTTCCAAGCTATGCGGGCTGGGGCTCATGGGATTTGTAGTTCAAGCCCTCTGCCGGGCACCAGCTGGGCTGTATCCCGCCCCTGCCTGTGTAGAGGGAAGGAAGCTCCCTCCCCCGTGCGGGGGGGGGCGCTGGGGGCCAAGGAAGACCCCGGAGCTCCCCCGACGGCGCCCCCTCCCCTCCCACGGCGTGCGCTCAGCTGGGGAGACGGGCAGCCCCACCAGGGCCAGAAACCGCACCTTCCCCCCTCCTCTGGCATCCACCATGCTCCGCTTTGCCCTACCAGTTCCCGCAGACCCGCAGGGCCGCCGAATCCGCCGCCGCCGCCTCCATCTCCAGCTTCAGTGGCGCTCGATCTTCCACTTTCATTTCTGCAACCCGACTGCAGGGGAGAGGAGGGGAGGGGAAAACGAAACTTAGACGAGGCCAAGGGCTGAGGGAGCCCGGGGCGTGGATGATGGCCCAAGGCAGGGGGCTGCCTGAGCCGAGGAAGCCCAAGGCCAGCGCCTGCCCTCCCTTCTTTCCCGGCGATCCTCCCCAACTCCCCGCGGGAGACCCGACGGGGCAGCGCTTCCAGCGCCCCGGAGGGCCGACGGGGCTCCGGGTGGCCGCCAGAGGGCAGCAGAGGACCACCTTGGCGCCGCGTCCCGATGGCAGAAGAGCGCCCCCTCCGCCGCAGGTCGCCGGGGCAGACCCAGCCAGGGGCCCTGGAGGTAGCCCAGCCGGACACGGAGCCACCCGACTGGCACGGGTTCCCCCCCCCCGACCTCTGTGCCCACCGTAGCGGCCTCCGGGCTTCTTGGGGGGAG